AGTACACCTACCGATCGACTTCTCAAGTTAGGCCTTCACAACACTATCGGGGAACTTATAGACGCGCACCGCCAAGCACAATACCTTCGTCTCACACAAACCGACACTGGTCGGCATATTCTACAATCTCTTGGAATCCAGATACCCGCCAATGATCCCACATTACTCCCCATACCAAGACCCCTGCACCGCGAACTCCTCATTACACCACTTCCCCGTAACATGCACCCCGACCACCACGATAAACGTCGCAGAGCTCGCGCTAAAACTCTACACCTATGTTACGGCGCCGAACCAGACGCCGTATGGGTAGACGCAGCCTGCGTGGGTGATGAAGCGGTCGCTGCCGTGGTGGATCACAATCTCTCTCCTATAGGTACACACACACTCCCTCCAGACACGTCCCCCGAAGCTGCAGAGGAAGCTGCCATTGCCTTAGCAATCGTAAACACAGAAGCACGGTACGTCTTATCAGATTCCAAAACCGCAATCTTAAATTTTGCACGAGGCCGAGTTCACGTCCCTGCTTTTTGCATACTGGATTCGCCCGCTGCAACCCCGCCCCGTCAAGTGGAGTTGATTTGGGTGCCCGCGCACTGCGGGAACACTGGAAACGAGGCCGCCAACCTCTTAGCCCGAGGTTCTTTAAACCGGGCTCCCGCGGCCTCCGATCTGGGATTCACGAAGGACCGCGCGCACACTTTCAACGAGCTGACTCAGGCCTATAGGGCAGCACGTCAGCTATATCCCCCACCGCACAAGTCCCTGAGCAACCGACAGGCAACCCTCTGGCGCCAGCTACAAACTCACACTCTTCCCTCTCCTCTCATTCTATCGCACTATCACCCCCTTTTCCTCACCTCAGCCTGTACCCTTTGCCCTGAACCTCATGCTTCTGCTATACACATCCTTTCTCACTGCCCGGCGGATTCTCCCCCGCGGGCCCTAGAGCACCTAAAGACTTGGGAGGATTGGGAGACCCTACTGCGCTCAGAGGACCCATTTGAGCAGACCATGGCGGCCGACCGGGCTGCCAGCGTCATGGACCACCACCAAATGAACGCTTGAGCGCAAAGGGGTCGTGCGGGGGCCCGGGAGCCTGCGTGCTCCAAACTCCTCTGTTGAATAAAGTTTTTCTCCTCCTCCTCCCGCACGGGTCCATCGCGTTGGAGAATTTTCCAAGGCCTGCGCCCAACGCAGGGTTCATACTGGCATGATTACGGCTGCCACGGTTCGCAACAACCACGCCGCTATAACGCTACTGATGGAGTTGACAGTCGGAGTCGCGGCAACCAGGAGTAGACGGTGTTTCAAGCAGCGCGTCAGCGATGACGTATGCCACACGAGATCGGAAGAGGCGTGGTAGCGGCACTCGACTAGAGAAAAAGGGACGTGGGAGAAGATACCAGCAGAGGGAAGAGCAGGAGAGAGTGAAAGGCATAGTCGTCATGGTTTCGATAATCAAATGCGTATAACTCCGCTATTACTGCACCGTTTCGAAAATTCTCACGGCTCCGTGTTAGTCATACACTAGTGGACAATTTATTAACTATAAGTGACTTTCAATCTATAGGTGGTTTACGGGCCCTTAAGAGAAGCGCACAGCAGGGTGATGCAAGCCGCTCCGACATGCGTGGGCTTCCTGCATATGTCAGCAGGATGCACCGCAGAAGAGTGGCCGCACTATGACTGTTGAAAAGCTTCGCATTAGATGTTTGCACTTGTGGGTGTGGCGGTTACCCATGCGAGCAGCAGAGGCAATTTTATTTCTTCACAAAAGTGAAAAAAAATGGTGATGCTAAAATGCCCAGTGATGCGACGTCTCCTTTATCTGCCCTGAGTGACTCTCTGCAAGTCTTCTGCTGGTATGAGAGAGAATGTGTGCAGTTTGTACAAGAAAATAGTGACCGGGAAAACAAAATATTGATCCCTTTTGCGATATATCTCTCTGTTTATTATCATCCGCTATTTTCGGTATTTTTAATATAAGTGTCAATTTTCCTATTTATTATATAATGGTCACTCATTCTTGTGAAATTTAGCGTTATCGCTTAAATTCGTAGTAACAGACAGCTCATATTCGAAAAATTGAAAAAAAATGTTACTTCGGCGTTTGAAAAAAAAATCCACCGCAGGGCAGCAAGATTGCTGCAGAAATCAGGCGATATCAACAAGCTTAGAGAAACTGAACGATTTTGTGGAAAAATTGATGCTCAGGAACTCCACAAAGCTGAATAACTAGAAAACGCTGAAACATGCAGTTCCAGTGCTAGCAGGGTTCCACCTGGCGGTGCACTGAATCCACTCACAATTATTGGTTACATGTACGTGCTTTTCACAAGCGTTATACAATCGTTTGGTTTGGGTTCACCACAGTGTTTATTTCACATGCCGCTCATTGTGCTTCACATGATCATGGTCGGGGAGGAGTCTAATGAGCGGTTGCATGCTTTTTGCCATGCATTATCCACGGTGGTTTGTCTCGAACCACAGGTCGTCACATACGAAGCCAAAGTCTGCTAGAAAAAATTGCCGCCGAAAGTGGGCGTTCCATCGGCAAACTCGTTCCCGATCTCGCCACATTGGGGCTCTTCGATGTTTTTACTTCTGGCTACCCGCGGGCTGCCAGAGTCAGCGAGAGCGCGCTCGTTTTTCTCGGGCTGCCCCCCCCCCCCCCCCCCGCGGCGCACTTCCGGTTGAGGTACGTTTTTCTCGGGTTGGACGGTTCTGGCGACCCGCGTTGAGCCCGAGGGTCGCCAGACGCTTCCAGGATAATTTAGTCGTGGAAGCTTTCAGGAAAGTTTTGGGCTGGTTTCGGGCTAGCAGACGCCGAAAAGGTACGATGTGTGCTCGGCGCCATCTTTGTGAGGACTGGATCGATTGCAATGTGGGCGCTTGAGAACTGCGCCTTCGCTGGTCATCACGCGTGGCGTTATCTTATAAAGCCTGTTCCGACTTGCGAGATCAAGCAATTACGAGTGGCGGCGAGTGTTTAAAGCTACTGTTTATCGCTTTTGTATTGTTTCCCGTGAAGCTTCCTTCTGTGGACAACGCGGCGAACTGTTGCCTGCTAATTGCGTCATGCACATGCCTTAAAAGTTATGTAGTACACGTTCGTACGCATGCATGGAGACAACTTTAGAGTTTTTTTTGTAGTAGTCGTTTGTGCAGCCATGCCTGTTTTCTGTGCACATAGCAAAGGCGATTGTAATCAATCTAGCTCACTCCGTCGTATGTTTGCGTGCGTGGACCTCTTAGAACCTCTGTCCTGACTACTCGATTGATCTTCGATGGTGATAGAGGTCCCTAGATTGCGACTTTTGTTGATGCTCGCTGGTCGCGAACGGCGTGCGACCCCACCTCGATCTATGGACTAGCATATGTGTAATGATATTATACGATACGACACGAGAAAAAAAACGAATGGGTTCAGAAATGTATACATCCATTCGTTGCCCATTTCATTGTTGGCTGTGTCTTTTTTCGCCGCTTCGTAATAATGCCGCGTAGTTAGTACTAAAACTTAGTAGGTCAAATCAAAGATTATATACATGACAGTTCTTAAGTGCCACTTAGCACTTGAAAACAGGCCGAGGTAAGTTATAAAATGGGTCGAAAACATGTGATGCACATGTCTATTTTATATACGACGCGCACTCGTGGTACTGATACCTGCGCATGTCTAAACTTTAGACAAAAACGTACGTTGGTCAACGTGTGTTTGCGACGTATAATACGCAATAGCTGAGCAGGTATATATTCTTAAGCTCTTCTTGGGACACGATCACATTCGCGTGATTTGGCGTCGTGTTGTGCAGTGACTGTTACATGTACTTAAGAGACGTGAGCCTCTTAAGCCATCGGCGTCGCGGCAGCTCACCTTGCATCGTTCTCATGGAGGCGTGCGCCAGCTGGCTGTTTCGTTCGCGGACGCGGCAAGTGATCGTGCGAGCGTACGAAGTCGTACTCCAAATGCGTACACTCCAAGATATTATTTAAGCTTTTCGGCGAGCTTAGCAACGTATTTCCAAGCGGACAATGCAGAAAAAAAAAAACCAACACGCACGCAGCGCGTTATTTCGTTTGCTGCCTCGACGGTAGAGTTTGTTTACGTTTGCGCTGGCTGTCCCAGCACTCGGTTTTGCGATCTTCGGGCAGCTTAGAGTTGTCTCGGGTTCTCCACACACGTGACCACGACGCTGTTTCACCTCCAGACCAGAACTAGCTGACTTACCATCGGGTTAGCTCTGGCTGCCAGAAAGCTGCCAGAGGCCTGAAAATTGAAGACCCCTTGACGCTGTTGTGCCCAAACCACCGCTTATTTGATGCGGCCTTGCTGCAGACGTTTGGCATCACGAGCTGGTGGTGTCAGAGCGGTTTGCAGGATCCGCCCGCCACCTGCACTTGATTTCCCGTTTGTGATTTAGCGTGACTTGAACGGCTGTCGGATTGTCATTACGCAGTTTCTGCCAGCACTCGATCTATCCGGCCTGTTTTCGGGCCCGGACTGCAGCGTCAGCTCGGCAAACGTGAGCTGCCACACCTTTCCAGTGTCGGCGCCCCTTCTAGAGGTTTTCGTGGTTTACCATTGTGGACGCGCTCAGTAAAAATCTATGCGCACACTTGACGCTGCGGCTGTGATGGGATAGACTACGGCATTGACAGAAAGAAAGACTGCCATTGACGTGTCTTTTTGAATGTAATGCTGAGAACGACGTAAAGTTAGCACATTCAATAGAGACCATTTCTTACTCCGTTGCGGAATGATTTTTGGTTTCTTCTATCCATATACAGTTTTCACTGTAAGGAACTCATTCACAACTCTAATAATTAGAGCGTATGACAGCCCACAGCAGATGAAAAGATGAGCACGACAGAAAATATACCAGAAATATTGCCATACCAATCAATTATGATCCAACCATTACACCGAACCATTTTAGTCAAGTATTATTTATGTCTGAGTTTTGCAACAGCGTCTAAAAAAGTCGCTTCCTGTTAGTAGTCGTGAAAAGTCAAATGTATTTTATTTGACCTGCGCCGTGTTTACACCGACAACCAACCACGAGATTTCTCAGGAACACTTTAATCCAGAGACATCTCTTCACCTGAAGCTTCGGTATGACGGTAAAAATCACATGGGTTATATGTTTCGGTAACATCAGACATTTTCGTGCAGCTCAAATCCATCTGCCTATAACATGAAGTATTCTCGTCCACTTCATTTCTCGATAACCCCCATAAAAGGCACTGCTGTTTACCTGAAAATATCAGTGAATGACAAACAGCACTCAAAATCACAAGTACTATTCAAAGCGCAAAGATTTTTACCAGTACCCGATATTCCTTCAAGCTTCGCTACTTAGAGAAGGCTAACTCTTTCATAACGCCTAAAGCACGTTCCTGATGGTATTGAGTGAAAGAAATGCCAATAAATCTTTCAACTTAGGTACTAATATTTTAAGGTAAAAAACAAAATGGTGGACAGTGGCATAAATTAGTGAGGGGGAAGTTCCAAGGGTGTCGTTCCTACCCCCTTTTAGTAAGCCTGCGAGGACAAGCTTTGCGAAAATCGCAATTGTGATTCAACTTCAATTATCAAAGTTTGTTTGTTTGAGAGCTCAGCATATTGCACTCTGCATAATATCAACTCTGAAATATTGGCCCTTCAAATGAGTGCAATGAAATGCTATAGTGAAAGACGATTTCAGTTCCGATGGACTGGTCAGTTCACTGATTCCGAAGTGCGATGGGTGAATGTTGGCTTCCATCACATGTTTAATGGGCTGGCCTCCAAATTACGCAATTGAGATTGTACGAAATCACCAGCTATTTATGTTGGCGATATCGTCGAAGCCATTAGTGATAAAGTGGCATGTGCATTTTATATATGCTCTCAATAAAATTTTGTTGCAGCCTGAGAACAATAAAATTTGGGAGGATTACTATCTAGCAAGGCAATACCTGTAAAGATATGCATGTGCAAAAGTACGTACTTCATTTCAAAATGTAAAATTCAAAAGATGTTTGCGTCACAATTTTAGTCTTCATTGGGCGCCATGTCGAGGGCACATGTGCAATTTAAACTTCACATTCGCGTTTGGTTTTCTGGTGCAACAAAACACCAGATAAACTTAACGTCAATATCGACTCGTGTGTATAATAAATTTGAGCTTATTTCACATTTAGGTGCTGCGAATTGTTAAAGGTGTGGCCATTTGAATGAAACGGCCATAAGAGCACGTCTCAATAGTAATGCAAGAGCCGAAATTTCCCTTTTCAAAACTATAAATAAGAAAAAAATCATGGGTGGTATTATATATCAAGTAAACCTTAGCAACGGGAGTGGTCGAACTATGAAGAAATAGCTCACTAATGAACGTGATTTATTCGAACGTTTCAACATTACGACTCTTATCTACCGACAACTCTTTCAGTGTGTGACATGTCAGAGTGCGAAAATGTTCAATTCGTTCATTATCCCTTTGCCTCGACCTTTTTAGAGTGGAGCGTAGCTACACAATTTCACACATCCGTAAATGCATGCACGAAAAGATATATTTATACCACTGTTTTGTCGCTGTAATATAATGTATATGTTATAATATATACGTTATACGTTGTAATGTAGCGTATACGTTATAATGTTTATGTTATACGTTGTAATGTAATGCATACGTTATAAAGAAAAGAGTCTTTGCAAACAACTTTGTATTTTGAAAGCCGCAGGCGATTAGGATCAGTGGGGACATGCCAATAAAACTTACCGTCTTTTGCAACACCACGTGACAGAAGTAGGCATTCGCTGTCTACCGCTATAACAAAGAAGTCACGAAATATGCCACTTGATGTACCTCGTGCTGGAACAACTGCAAAAATAATAATTTAGAAACATGCTGCACACAACAGGTCTTTAATAAGCAAATAATGTGTTTATTCTTGATTTTTTTAGTGTAGCACGTAAAAGTGCGAGTTCATACGGGCTGACGAATTTAGAGCTAATTCAGGTAAATACCGCATTTACTTGCGTAAAGAAAGTCTTTTTTTCTAGAAAATGAGAGCAGAGTTGGGGTGGGTGCGTTTATTACGCGGGGTAAATTTTATGAAAACTTTTTTGGGAGGAGCGAAAAATGCGGTAATGCAAAAAAAAAGTTCCGGCGCTGAGCTTTTCGCATTATAAATATTCGTACACTGTTTGGAAACAGCTTTTTTGTTGCACTTCACTCATCCTCGGTGGTTGAAGGTGCTTTCTTTTACAAGCTGCTCCCGGGCTGCCCACGCACGCCATGAAGACATTTTGTAGCTATCTTTTCTCCCCATCGTTTACGCGCAGCAGTTCTTCTGCTGTGATATCGAGGGGCGCCCAAAAGCGTGCACGATGACACTACGACGCACTTTGCCAACTTCGCGGCGACCTCATACGACGACCGTGACGACGCTGTTAACAATGTAGCAAGCATGACGAGGTCGTGATAGCAAATAACCATTATTGCAGCAAGCTGCCCCCATAAAGTCTAAAGGAAACATCGATGACCAGATAAACGACAAAATGCGGCTGCCGTCTCACTTCCACATGAAAAGTGCCTCCTCGCGTGGATAACAAGTGAAGCCTAAATCGGGGGTGATACGATACTGCAGAAATCTTCACGATGTTCTCAGGACAAGTCATTTTTTTTCTGGTTTTCCAGAAACCTGCGACGTGAGAGCGATGAATGAGCCTTCGCGACAGCAGGTCCTGCCGTCTTTGCTTGAAAATCGCTTGCACGTATAGTTAGCCTTTTTTTTTGGGGGGGGGGGGGAGGATGATTGTTTAAAAAGGTAGAAAGGTCAGACAAAGTGGTGTGAGGTGCTTCATAACTGTCTCTCATGTGAGGACACCTCAACCGATACGGGGAAAGAATGAACAGCTAGAGTAAAAAAAAAAGTAGGCGCCGTATCCGCATGTTTCACTGCAAATGTCGTCGAAAGACGATAGTCTTGCGTCTGGGGAAAGTGAACAAAACATTTGTTTGATGTTTTAAGCGAGAAAAGCGGCGAATTGCATTCTCAAGGTGCTGCGTTAGGGAGTCTCGGTCCGTGCAGCGAAGGCCAACGAGCGCATCCAGGCACGTTAGACACGAGTGCCATCTGGCAGTTATCTTCGAAAACAAACGAAAGAAGCGTGCGCGCCCAACATGGAGGCGATAAGGTGTAGAACGCAAAGTGTCGGGCTGGAGCCACCGTGTCGTCTTAGCAAAGCGTAAAAACACTTGTCTTTTTGAGCATCGCGTTGCGTTGCCAGTGCAGCGTGATATGTGCTATGGTTCTAGGAATTACTTATGCATGCGTTGCTTTGATTGATATGTGGGGTTTAACGTCCCAAAACCATTACATGATTATGAGAGAGGCCGGAGTGGAGGGCTCCGGAAATTTCAACCACCTGGAGATTTTTAACGTGCACCCAAATCTGATCACACGGGCCTACAATATTTCCGCCTCCATCGAAAATGCAGCAGCCGCAGCCCGTATTCAATCCCGTTACCTGCGGGTCAGCAGCCGAGTACCTTAGCCACTAGACCACCGCGGCGGGGCTACCTATATGTATGCCTTCGCTAGTATGAAGCCACAAATACGAAATATTGACGTGTTGTTACGGTGTCTCGGATATGCGCAATACTTGTTTTTATTGACAATCGCACAAGTATGAACGCTAAAACTTGAGCAATATTGATGGGTTCTGTGGATGTGGTTGGCCGTTGGGATTACCTTTAGGTGACGTTTAGGGTATCTTTATGGCGGACAAACAGACGAATGTACAGACAGAAGGATGGACAGACCGAAGTTTTTGCGTCAAAGTACCCCAAGAAAGAATATCGTCTTTAAAATGAAAGGGGGCGGAGGGGGGGTTCGCAGGAAGCGACCGACGACGATCGGCCGGGCAGTTTGGCGACCTTCGCTCGCTGTGTGCTTATCATTTGCGATGTCTCTACACTCGCACCGATCGTGAACCCCGCTGTGGCGTTTACAGTAGGCACTGCGTACGCTGTTGATCAGCTATTTTAGGAGGTTGCAACAAACTATTTTACGTATGAATGCACAAATAATACCGCACACTACAGAGAAGGCCCATATGCGAAAATAAAGATGCATATGTTGGGTTTAATGTCCCAAAACCACCACATGATTATGAGAGACGCCGTAGTGAAGGGCTCCGAAAATTTTTACCACCGGGGGTTCTTTACCGCACACCCAAATCTAAGCACACAGGCCTACAACAGTCCCCCCTCCATTGGAAATGCAGCCGCCGCAGGCGGGATTCAATCCCGCGGCCAGCGGGACAGCAGCCGAGTACTTTAGCCACTAGACTACCGCGACGGGGCATTTGCGGAAATAAAGACACTCGACATTTGACTCAAGGTATATCTGTAGCAGAAAATAAACCAGAAACAAAACTGTTAGATGAAAGGTAGAAGAAGAAGATAAAGACGTTTTTGCACGCTGAAAACCTTGAAGACGCAAATAGATCGTAGAGTCTCAGTCTTTTCTATTGGTTATAGCATGCTGTATTCATAACGGGCAAAAAAATAATCTTTAAATAGTCAACCGCCCTAGGCATTGTAAACGATCATCGTGAATTACGCAACTTTTATATAAGTTAAGAGCGAGACATAGCTAACGTTTGATATTAGAAGACTCTGTAAGGTGCTTGTGCAAAATAGGTGCCAGACAAGGAATGCCGACGAAGTTTGTGCTTGAAAAGAGAGTATCAACGCTTGGATCTATAGAGTTATCTTACAATTATTACTCTTCAATAGGTTTTAGTTATTTTCACAGTATAGGCAATAATCCACATTTTTTAACACTTTCGGGCTACTCAGTGAACGGCATGTCATATTACCAATTTTGATATTTATCATGCCTACATATAATGACGCAAAATAAATGAACGTGCTCAGGCAATACAATTTTCACTTTGCGACACAGATCTCTAACGGAAGTTTCATGTAATATTAAGTCAGAGGTGGCTTTTCTGCATCTCCTTGTTATATCATCGCATCTGAAATAATTGCTACCGCCCAGGAGCATCCGTGTCGTTCCCAGGAGACAAAGTTTTTAACGCGTCTGGCACAATTTCGTAAAAAAGTTTGCAGATTTTTTTTCAATATGAAGTAAAGAAGAGTTTGTTTAACTGGTGTTTTTCAAGCTCACAATTGTGCATGACCGAAAGTTAGTATTACCTGCCTAATAAAGTAGTTTCTGAAGAAGTACATATACTATCGTCGAACTACTTCCTTCCACATAAATAACTTAAGTCACTGGCCTATGATATTTTTCAGGACAAATTTGCTGGCTGTCCCAGATTATCAAAAGCATGTATTTCGCTTCATCTGTAGTACTATTTCTTATAATATAAAAAAGCAAACACTCAGGTTTGAGTGAAAATCTAATCGTATTTAAAAAACCAAACAAAAAGAAGCAGTAGCATACGTCCTTCTATAGCCTTCACAGAGACGCTTGTAACTTGACTTTTCCTCACCGCTTCAAAATCAGCCTCGTCTCCACTGAAAATATAAGAAATAAATATTTCAGAAAGTCATCTTTCAATATATATACAAAGTAGGATAATTAAGCAGCTGGTTCTCTTTTCTGAAGACATAAAAGTTCATTTGTTACATTTTCTGATATAGTTGCTTTCACTGCGATGATGGTGGTCGTGAGGAAGACCTATTGGCACACCAAAAAAACAAGATATGTAGGAGGCTATCAAATCCTGAACTTGAAATCATTTCTGGCACTGGAAGTCAGCTTTCTAATTTAGCGAGATAAAATTAGTTTGCGAATATTTTGTCAATATTTTACACCAAAATTACTATGTCTACGTACCTGGCAGTTGTCACATTGTTTTCATCTGATTTTTGCACAGAATGGAAGTCTCATTATGGAGAGCACACGACACAGTTTCTTCAAAAAGAATTTAGGCATCCATAGCATTGTGGATACCAACAACAATAAATATGTCGAATGCTGTAGTTAGCGGGGTTCGAGAATAGTGTCTCAAGCTGCTACACTTTCCTTTAAAGCTTGAAAATTCAAGTATCGAATATACAAGTTTTGCTATTTTCGAAAGGGGCTATATAGAATGGCTTCGTGTTATAACAACGTTGAAAACTTGCCATCCTATGTATGTCAAGGAATGCTTACACCTGAATTCTATGTATGTACTGAAACAAACAACTAGCGAAAATAGGCGCAGTGTGAACGCGGCTGTAACAGTAAGACATCATTCCCGAACACTGCTGTTATATTGAAACAGAGAAACAAACATCATCTGCCTTAATTTTTCACTGTTATTACAAAGCGTATAGTTACGCCGCATTTGGGTTTAAGTATAAACTTAGTATAAACCTACCTAAGTCGCCAAATCTCGGTGGAATGAAGCATATGTGATTGTGTAGTCTTTAATGGTCGCTTTCGATAGTTAGTGTTACAGCCCACGCAAAAATTTTGACACAGTTTGTTAAAGAACTTGTAAACAACTTCTCAAAATACGAAGTGCGATCACAAATTTTTCTTCCTGCATTGGCCGCGTTAATAATGCAATACAAGATTCTAGCAGTCAGCTAACATAACGTCACACGCAATGAGCTCTCGACCGCTTCATACACAAGCTATATGAGTTGGTAATTGTATCCTATTGTTTTTTTCTTGCTGTTATACACTCATGTCGTCCCGCCTAAGTACAGTGCTCGATCTAACGATCTCAACTCTTTTACTGGATTTTCGACGGCACAATCACAGATAGAGCGCGTAACGAAAAGTCAAAATTTTTATAAGGCTTGACTCATACGGCTAATATGCTTATTAAATAAGGCATTATTAGCGC